TATGTATGTGTGTATGTGTGTATGTATGTAGGTATGTATGCATGCATGTATGTATGTTTGTATGTATGTTGTATGTATGTATGTATGTATGTATGTATGTATGCCGATTAAATTCTGACCCAACAATCAAATGCTCGTAGTAGATACCCCGCAAGCGATGATGCTTTTTATACCTTGCAGAGCTGCCTGGCTTTTCTGCATACATTATTATGTTCGACACAAATTTGTATGCAGTGGCGCGGAATTTTGCGCGCTATCGCAATTTGCTGAATAAATGATGTCATGTAAAAGCACTTTCGGGCACTCAGATATTGTCCCCTGTTGTTGCGAATTGTTGTAAACTTAATCTGATTATCAGTCACAACATAGCCCTCCTTTGCATGCAAGAAACACGTGTCGTGTCGCGAGAACAATCAATATTGACTGGAAGATGGTGAAGTGTTGCCAACAATAGCTTGTCGTACATTGTTGTTTTCTGGTTCTCTAAGTACAATGAGTGGATTTGATATAACGTAGATTCTCCTCGTCGGCTAAGTCTGTTGATTTTTCCATTCGAAGGGTCCTTACGATCAAGGGAAACTGCATGGAACAAGCCGATTTACATGATCCGTTCTCCAATCCTTCTTATCCACGTTTACCTTTTTTCTTTCTAGAAGGCTTCAGCTGGAAACTGTTTCACTTCTTTTGAAACGGACGATTCTGATGTGTTCAAATGTTAGTCAGTTGTCCCAACTGCGACGAATTAAGAGATAGGTAACTATCTGTTCACTACGATCAGAAACCATCCACTCTATCCGGTTTTCTGAACAAGCGTTCGTGTAAATCTTTTCATTTGTCCTTGCCAGCTTACTCAGTGCAAGAGGTCCGTGGTCTACAAACTAAAAGGCTAAACTCCGTGGTCAAATACATACTGTAAAAAGGAGAGTATGTTGGGAAACATTCCGGTGGAACGATTTTGTTGGTCCTGCTTTTAAAAGGAATACGGTGGTGGGTAGCGTATTCCACAACTTTGCAGTCCTGGGGAAATTGATGACTCCAGAACAAAAGTCTGACATCTGGAGACAGAAACTTGATCAGAGTGACCGCTTGAGAACTGTATGGACGTGAAAAGCATAAGGGGGAGGAAAACCGCTGAAGCGCGTTTCGAAGAGCAGAGAGCAAAATAATATTAGTAGAAAAGATATGAGAAAGCAACCGCTGGACGATAAAAAAACGACCGAATATTTGAAGTTCGGTTCGTTGATCAGCTGGATGAACATGTTGAGAGAAAGAACGGAATACAAAATGTGACTGTAGTATTTGAGCACCGGGCGGTTGTAGCTTTACATAAAAGACTTCGGTCGCGTGTAAAGAAGCGCCCGGCACGGAGTAGGAAACTAGATTTGCGAGCAGCATGTGAGGCGGATATGAATGTCGAAGAAAACCAGCAGTGAAAGAAAATTATGGATGAAAAGTAGTTTTGGTATATTTTACAGTTTCCCCACGTTGTTTCGCTTATGCTTGTTAATGTGAATGATCAAATCATAAGAAGTCTCATAACCGGAATCAATCGTTAGTTTTCGTGCACACAAGTCTTAACCCCCTTACGTTACTGTTGTTATCTGTATTGTCTCACCCAGTCGCCTTATTATTCTCGGGTTCATTGGGTCATTTCTGGTCACTTTTCCCTTTCACTTGTCGATAGCTTCCGTTGAGAGGCTTCTGTTTATTGCCTCCATATGACTCCGTTCAAAAGGCGTTCGATCTGATATCGACCCTCAGTCGTTTACGGACTCCGGGTCCCTTCCTACCGCGGAGGTTTGACTTTGGAGATGTTAAAAATATTACGAATATTATTATTTTTGTCGTTACTGAGTTTTCTCAAATCGCTTCATTTCATATTTGTTTTCGTCCGCTGTAGGAGAAGAAAACAATCACTCCATCAGCCCCGCAAAATAATACCCCCGTGGAACAGTTGCCTAAACCGACCGAGGCAGTTAAACGAGGGTGAGCTTCTGGTGTATATGTTTGTGTGGTGCAATCGTACTAAGTCTTAGTTATTCCAGAGCCCATTTTCCTTTGTGCAATTTCCACTTAATACGCACTATCCGGTAATGTTATGTATTTGTCTGTGTGCCTAAGCAAGTTTATCGATTGGTTCTTCGGGAAAG